CGTACTAAAGTTAAGTTTAGTACCTAAGGCTTTCTGCAAACTCTTCCAGAATTGCGATGTGAATCGCGGGTCACGATCAGAAATGATAGACAAAGGTACACCATGTAATCTTACAATCTCACGGATGTACAACTCTGCCAACTTCTTCAAGGACATATCGCGTCGAATAGGAATAAAATGAGATGACTTGGTTAATCGATCAACAATTACCCAGACAGCGTCATTTTTCTTAGCTGATAATGGAAGTCCAATCACAAAGTCCATCGTAATTCGTTCCCACTTCCATTCAGGGATAGTAGGTGGATGTAACAACCCACCAGGCACTTGGTGTTCAGCCTTGACTTGTTGACACGTCAGACATCGTGTTGTAAATTCAGAAATTTCCCGCTTCATTGTGGGCCACCAATATGTCTTCTTCAGATCTTGGAACATTTTATTACTACCAGGATGCATAGTATAAGTGGTTTCGTGAGATTCACGCATTAAACGTTCCCTCACTTCGCCACTAGGAACTACCAAGCGATTCCGGTAGAATAAAATTCCATTATTTACTGTGAAATCTTGTCTCTCCCCCTTTGAGACAAGTTCACAAGTCTTCAAACAGTAGTCATCACGTTTTTGTGCAGCATGAATTTCGTTCTCAAGAGTAGGTTGAACTCGGAGTTCTGCTATCATCTTCCGGCTCAATGCATCAGCAACTACGTTAGCCTTGCCAGGGTGATAGTCAATGTAGCAGTCGTAGTCTTTGATCAATTCCAACCATCTTCTCTGTGTCAGGTTCAATTCTTTTTGAGTTAGCAGGTATTTTAGACTTTTGTGGTCTGTGTGAATATATGTCGTCTCTCCGAAGAGATAATGACGCCATATTTTCAAAGCAAATACAACTGCTGCTAACTCAAGATCGTGAGTAGGATAGTTACATTTGTGAGGTTTCAACTGTCTTGATGCGTATGCCACGACTTTTCCGTCTTGCATGAGTACACATCCCAAGCCATTATGAGATGCGTCACTAAAGATTGTGTAGTCTACACCTGGTAGTGGTTGGGTCAGCACAGGTGCTTCTGTCAGACATTTATTTAGTTTCTCAAAGCTTTGCTGACATGCATCGGTCCATACAAATTTCACATCTTTTCTCAGAAGTTTGTTAAGTGGAGTTGCGATCGAGGAAAAGCCTTCAACGAATCGTCGATAGTATCCAGCTAATCCAAGAAAGCTTCTCACTTCACGAACAATCCTTGGAACCTTCCACTCGGTGATGGCAGATATTTTAATGGGGTCTACCTTAACACCTTCTTGAGAAATCACATGTCCCAAAAACGTAACTTCATTAAGCCAAAATTCACACTTTGACAGTTTGGCATATAGTTTATGTTCCTGTAGTATGCTGAGTACTATCTCCAAATGTTTCGCATGGTCTTCTCGATTCTTCGAATAGACAAGAATATCATCGATGAATACAACCACGAATCGATCAAGATAAGGTCGGAATACACTATTCATGAGATCCATGAATACTGCTGGAGCATTGGTCAAACCAAAGGGCATTACCGTAAACTCATAATGACCATAACGAGTACGGAACGCAGTGTTTGGGATGTCCTCTTTCTTTACAGGGATTTGATGGTATCCTGACCGTAAGTCAATCTTAGAGAATACAGTAGATCCTCTGAGCTGATCAAATAAGTCATCGATACGAGGTAAAGGATATCGATTTTTGATTGTGACTTTGTTCAATTGACGGTAATCGATGCAGAGTCTCATCGAGCCGTCTTTCTTTTTGACAAACAGGACGGGTGCTTCCCAAGGGGAAACACTCGGACGTATGAATCCTTTATCGAGTAGTTCTTGTAGTTGAGCCTTCAACTCTTTCATTTCAGCAGGAGCCATGCGATAGGGAGTTGCAGATATCGGTCCTGTTCCAGGAACAAGATCGATGGAAAATTCTACTTCTCTGGAAGATGGTATACCAGGAAGTTCGTCAGAAAATACGTCAGGAAAACCACATACTGTCGGTATGTCTTTCAACTCAGGAGTTTCCTTTCGCGTGTCACGTACGTTACATAGATAAGCTTCACATTTCTTTCGAATGAGACGCCTAGCGTGTATGTACGAGATGAATTCAGTGGATCTAGGTGTTAGATTCTCTTTCACCTCTATAGACTTTCCCTCTCCAGACTTTAGTTGAATCGTTCGTCGTCGGCAATCGATAATTGCTTGGTGTTCGGTGAGCCAATCCATTCCGAGGATGATGTCAAATTCTTTGTACGGTAATTCGACAAGATTGGCAGAGAACTGATGTCCTTCAACAACCAATGGACAGTCTTGATACACATGATCTAACCTCATACTATGTCCTAACGGGTTAGACACTAGTATAGGTTGTTCCAATTGTTCTTTCATTATGTCAGCCTTGTCAGGTATAGGCACGCAGATATAAGATAACGTTGATCCAGGGTCTATCAACACATGCATGACAGAATCAAATAAGGAAAACATACCCTGAATGACGTCAGGGTTTTCCTCAGCTCGTGCCTTCATTGCATAAGTACGAGCAGGAGCTCGTCCCTGTTGCTGACTCTGGTTCTTGGCCGGATTAGATCTTGCCGTTGATCGTTGACTTGGCGCAGGTCGTGCTGATGCTGATTGGCTGACAACTGGGGCTGTCGGAAATGGTTTGCCAGGATTAGTGGGGCAATTCCTTCGAAAATGTCCAGGTTTGCCGCAACCTAGAAAAATCCTTGGGCAAGCCAACACTCGCCTGGATGATGTCTCCCACATGTATCGCACAATGGGTGTTTCCACCCTTTTGATTTGTTTTCCGACGCCACAGAGTGCGTCTGCAACGATTTCCACAGAGTGCGTCTGCAACGCCATATATAAGATAATTTCATAATTATTTAATCTCTCACTTTTCTTTTATACTTATTATTAATTATTAGTTATTAATTATTTTGGTACCGTGTAATAATAATAATAATAATAATAATAATAATAATAATAATAAACGTAATAATTATTATTGGTGTCGTGTATAATAAAAAAGGTTACTTGTAACACTTTAATTGTTAATTATTAATAAGGTAATTTCATATCTTAAAATTTTTAAGATCGTGTAATAAAAAGGTAAGATGTGAAACATTAGTTATTAATTATTAATTATTAATAAAGTAATTTCATACCTTAAATTTTTGGTACTGTGAAATAAAAAGGTAACATGTGAAACTTTAATTATTAATTATTATTTATTAAGTGCTAAACTTGATAATAATATGGTAATAATATGGTATCGCCCATTGACCTTGCATGTGGAAAAATAAAAGAGGTAACATGCGAAAGAATAATAATATTATGGTACCGTATAATAATAACATCATTATACACGCCCATTGACTTTGCATGTGGAAGAATAAAAATGATAACATGTGAAAGAATAATAATAATAATATGATAATATTATGGTACCATATAATAAAAATTATCATAATAAGAAACATAATAATAATAATAATAATATTAATATTAATATCAATATTAATATTAATATTAATAATATAAAATAATAATAATAATACGGAGTAATAGGTAAGTTAGTTTTGTTCTATTACCGTGTATAAAGTAAATTACCATGTATAAAATAAATGAAAGTGTTGACTTGGTTAAACAAATATATTCTCATACATTATATTTTTTGTCCAAAATTATAAATTAAAAAAATTAGACGGTCAAAAATACAATGAAATTTTAAAGTATAAAAATTATAATAATCAAAGTTATACTACAAAATTTCGCTAAATCTGCGACGGAACAATTCTGTCGCAAACACTCCATTTCGGTCGTAGATTAGCAAATTGCGACGGCCTTGCGACGGAATAAATCCGTCGCAAAAAAATTGTCGCATTTTCGGCTTTTGCAACGGAATAGTGGTACCGTCGCAGTTTTGCGACGGCCTCGGCGACGGAAATACATTTTCCATTATTTGCGACGGAATGTTAAATCTGTCGCAAATTGCGACGGAATCTGCGAGAAAAGTTTAAGCTTCCTAAAAGTGTTGTTTGCGATGGAAATTGTGACGGGATAAATCCGTCGCAGATGCACCAGAGTACAGAACCAGAATCTGCCTCATTTCCTTATGACCACCAACAGAATAACAATGAAACAATACAGCATATAAACAACAGCAGTGAAATAACACAGAATTTGTCAAATTCATTAAAACACAAATCTTTTCTCAATTCATGGTCAATCACAACAAAATATTCATTAAAACACAATTCAATCCAATCCATTTTCAATCACAGCACAATATTCAATAAAACACATAAATGTCATAACTTATTCATGCCACACAACCAGTTCCTGAGCCTCCCATACCAACGTCAGGGTCTCGAGGTGTCGGAAGATTTCCACCACACATTCTTTGAATTTGTTCAGCAACTGTGAACTCAATATTATCCAACCTTGCCTTCATGACCTTATTCTCCGCTCTCAGCCGCTCAATCTCTAAAATATCACTAGCACTCTTTCTTCTGCCTTGATATCTAGGTTTAAGGGGTTTCATTTGTTCGGCAAGATCTCCGACTCCTTTAATCCTATTCTTTTGATCAAAGCTACCAACTAGCTCAAACCAAATCTCCTGATCCGTGACTTTAAGGCCTGACTCCTCAGCCATTTGTTTCAACTGTACAAAATCAGCATGTACAATGGAATACATAATGAATTGAATAAACATATGGATTACAAAAAATTGCTGCTGGGTACCCCTAATTTTGGGATAAAGACTAGCAGGTCCCATTGTTTTTCAAAATATACTCCGAGGTACCTTAAGATATTCGAAAACTGACTCCGGGGTGACAATCCGTCATTCTCTCCGTTAACATTTCTTCTCCGTTATCCTCCTCCTCCTCCTCTTCTCAAAAAATTGCTGCCAGGTACCCC